GTAATTTTATTTATTTATTTTATTTTTTTGAGATAAGAGTCTCAAGCTATCGCCCTTGGTAGAGTGCTGTGGCATCAGAGCTCACAGCTCAAACTCTTGGGCTTACACAATTCTCTTGCCTTAGGCTCCTGAGTAGCTGGGACTACAGGCACCTACCACAATGCCTGGCTATTTTTTGGTTGCAGTTGTCATTGTTGTTTAGCAGGCCTGGGCCAAGCTTGAACCCACCAGCCGTGGTCTATATGGCTGGCATCCTACTCACTAAGCTACGGGTGCTAAGCCCAGAAGTAGTAATTTTCTAGCACCTTTCTTCCAAGGCACCTCAAGAGAAGATGGGATGGCAGGTCCGCCCCATGGCCTTGGGGTTCATTCATAGCAGGAGTTGAGATTTGTGTAATAAATATGCCCCTCCCTGGATGGGTGCAGTGACTCACGCCTTTAATGCTAGTACTCTGGGAGGTGGAAACAGGTGGATCACCTGCTGAGTTTGAGACCAGCCTGAGCAAGAGCAAGACCCTTTCTCTACTAAACATAGAAAAAAAATAGCTGGGCATCATGGTGGGTGCCTATACTCCAGCTACTTGGGAGGCTGAGGCAAAGGGATTACTTGAGCCAGGAGTTTGAGGTTGCTGTGCGATAAGATACCACAGCACTCTGCCCGGGGCACAGAGTGGGATTCTCCTTCAAAAAAAAAGTGCACCTCCCACGTCCCCATAAACAAGGGAGCCGTGTCCCAGGCTTGTTCACAGATGAGAAAACTGGATGCAGAGGGGATGCAGCTGGCATGGGGAATTGGGAGGCTAGGGGCTTCTGGTCTCTTGGTACTGTGTCACCTCTGAGGTCACTGCCTTGCAAAATGGTGAGGGGAGGTGGAGCGGACTCTGGTTCCATCAGGCCAAGGCCCATCCCACCTCTGAGGAGGTGACCTTGTACAGATCACACACTCTCCCCAGGGCAGTACTGGTCATTGTCCTGCCTAAAATAGGGATGAGTGGGTAGGCTTAGGGAGCCTGGAGTTACTGACCCTGCCCACCCTGCCTCTGTCTGCATTTCCAGGACAGCAGCCACCCAGAGACGCTGATCAACCTCATTGTCCTATCCCAGCACCTGGGCAAGGCTCCTGAGGTAGGCTGCCTCCCAGTCCAACCTAAGACCAGGCACAGAAGGTTTCTCAGCCCCCGTGGTGCTATCCTGGAGCCAGGATCAGGTCTCAGGGTCTGGACATCAGGGTTAGCCTGGGGTTGGGGCAGAAACCTGCCCTGCTAAGGGGTAGTTGCCATTGGCTCAAGGGGTTCTCAGAAATCAGTGGTATAGGTGTCCTTTAACCACAGACAGTGGGTCAGCAGCTCCCAAGGATCCAACAGAGAAGTGGGCTTAGAATATGTTTGAACCAGGGTTGGCTAGGCTGGGACCTTGGTCTATGCCACTTATGGGTGGGGGATGGGAGATAGGAATCAAAAAGGGGCCTGAGAGAACAAATCTGGTGAGCCCATGTCATCTAGGGGAAGGGGAAGCTGGGGCACGGCTTTGGTATGTGTGACTATTTAGGTTGTATTTCCGATAGCCTGATTCCAGGGTGGGTGTGGCACCCTCAGGGTGAGGGGGGATGTGGGAGGGAAAACAGAGCTCCTTGCCCTACCCACCTCTTGCCTGGCAGTCCAGAGCTACTGTAGAGTCCCCGCATTTGGTTAACCTGGTCCTGCCTCCCTTGCAGGTGACAAATCGTTACTTGTCCCAGCTGAAGGATGCCCACAGGTCCCATCCTTTCATCAAGGAGTACCAGGCCAAGGTGAGCTGCTTTTTCCCCAAGCTGGGCCAGGGAGGAGTCAGAACTCAGGCCAGGCTCACATGTTCATAATCTCTCTGTCTCTGTCTCTCTCACCCCTGACCTCCCCTCCATGTTGTCCTGTGGAAGGAGAATGACTTTGACCGGCTGGTGCTGCAGTACACTCCCAGTGCCTGAGGCTGACCCCAGGACAGCAAGGCCCACCCTGCTGCCCCTCTTGCCTGACATCTGCCCCCAGCCCTCTCAGGGCTGGTTACTTGCATGGAAGGCCACAGCATCCCTCTCTTTCAATAAACATCTTGGCTCCAAGGCATCCCCACCTGCTGTGCTCTGGCTACTTTTGGGGGGTTTACATGGGAACCAAGGCTCCAAGGGTGGGTCCATGGAAACTGAGGCAGGTTACACAGCCATTGTGTTATTCAAACCAAGACCCCCAGGTGGCCTGGAGTTGGAGATGGTGGGGTGGAATGGGGCAGCAAAGCAGGGTGGGACCTCACAGGGTCTCCGTGAAATGAATATTTACCCTGCACTCTGCTGCTCACTCCTGTCTTGTGAATTGCCACCAAGATGGAGTGCTGCTGTGGTCAGGGCCCTTGGGCCCTAGGACAGCCAGTCTTGGTTGGCTACCACTCCACCACCAAGCTCCCTGCTCTCTCCAGAGATAGCTCCCCAGCAAGCAAGCTCTGCTGTGATAAAGGCAGGGGACAATAGGGCCATGGAGGGTGGAGGAAGGGCTGGCCAAGCCTCTCAGATATGGTCACCATTGAGCAGTGTCCACCTCACATAATAAGAAAGAGCTGCCAGTCTGGGTTCCAGGGGACAAGCCTCCTAGACAGCAAGCAAGACCTGTGCAAAGGCACTGAGATAGCCCTGGGCTGTGAGGTATAAGGGAGTTAGACAGGGCTATGTGTCCTTTGGCTGGCATCTGATCTTACCTCCAGGGACGAGATAAGACACTATTCCCTACCCCACCAATGTCTAGTCTCAGTTTTCTCGGGAACAGCCACCTGAAACTGAACCCTGTCCTGGTTGCCAAGGACAGGACAAGTGACTTCCACATCAAGCAGTGGGCCCACCCCCAGCACCTCCCTTGCCTCCCTGGGTAGAAGAGAGAGGTGGCAAAAGAGGCTTTCCTGGGCAAGGGGTCAGGATTGGGGTCCTGGGGATGAGCTCCACTTATGGGAGAAGGGGTGTGGCCCTTTGGGTGGGGAAGGGACACTAACCTCAGAACTGACCCTCAGCAATCCTTCCCAAGACTTCAAGAGCCACTTTGCGCTTCTGCCCTGCACCCACCTATTGGCCTCCTGGCTGGACCTGCCAGAAAGAAATTTGAGGCTGAGCTGGGGCCAGTGAGTGGGCAGACAGAGCCTTTCATGACTGATGGGCACCATGGTGACCAGATAATGTTGGCTGGGGGTGTGGAGGGAGGTAGCTGGGAAGGTCTGGGACTGCCAACGGGCCTGGCTGGACCTATGGCAACACATCTTTGGTTTTACACCTCCCACATGCTGGGCCTGTTATGTCCCACCCCAACTCACAGATGGACAAATTCCCACCCACACAGAGTGCACATTCAGGAATAAGGAGTGGGATGTGCGTGGGACAGATGGTAACAAGTGTCAAGGGGACTAATGGTGGGGGAGGGTTTTAGATAGGGGTCAGGGAGGCACAGTGGGTAAGTGACATCTGTAGAAAGCTAGGAGTTAAGTGAGGGAAGAGTCCTGCAGGTACCTGAGAGAGCAACATCCCATGAAGGAGGAACTGCCAGTGCAGAGGCCCTGAGCAGGACTGAGCGTGGCATACTGGGAGAAGAGTGGGGAGTCCCATGTGGCAAGAGACAGTGAGCGCAGGTGGTGTGGCTCTGTGCTTTCACTCAATAGGATGTAAACCATGGAGGGCTGAGAGCAGAGGAGCTGACCTTAAGAGTCAACAGCTCCTTGTAGCCTCTGTGTGGTAAGGAGGGAGCCAGGACACCAGAGAGGAGGCCAGAGGGCTCAATGCAGCTCCAGGCTGCATAGGTGCAGAGATGGCCAGACTCCAGGACATCTCAATGTGGGGCCTCCTGCATGTGTTTCAGAGCTTGGATGTGGGGTGAGAGGAGGAAGGGGAAGCCTCTATTGGCCCCTATACCTGTTCACCCTGAAGGTGAGGTTGGGCTGGGGGCTGTATGGTAGCCAGCCCAGCTCCTGGAGGGCCCATCCCTGCATGCTGCACCTTGAAGGCCTGGGTGCTGGAATGTGGGGGGCCAGCAGTGCCAGCTAAGGTGACCTGTGTCCTCATTGACAGCCACTGGGGACTTTGGGCCCAGGGCTTGCTCAGTAGATCATGGAAGATCACTTGTGAGAGCCCCAGTGAAGTTATGGTCTTGATCCAGCTTTTCTGAGCCTTCATTCCTTCAGTCTCCCTGCAAAGCCTGCCCAGTCCCCAGGGCTGCAGAGAGCAGCAGCAGGTGGCCCTGACTTGGGACATAGCCCTCTCCCTCCTCCAGGGGGCTACCCCTACAACGTGAGCAGCTCCCCTTCACAATCTGTCTCTGAGTCCCCAGCAGCCTGCCAGAGAAACAGAGGAGCAGGCCTGGCAAGTGTCACAAGTCCCTAGTCCAGGATGGAGCCCCATTGTTAAGTGCCAGGTATGGCCAAGTGCCCCTTGGGGTAGAGGACTGTTTCCATACCCACAAATGGACCATGTCCTTTTTCAGGATTCAGGGAGGCTATAGGATGGTCCCAAGATTGTGCCAAGATGTGCTGGGATCTGAGACTGAGGAGCCAGGTTCCCAGGGAATGGTGAGATCTGGGCCTGGCCAGAGCCTTGGAGGGGGCCAATTGAAAGGCCAGAAAAAGAAGGGGTTCCGTCTGAGGGTACTGTCTCCTGGTGCCCACCCTACCCCACACCGCGGACACAGTGGCGAGATGGAGCCCAGGGTGGGCACAGGCGCACTGGGGCAGCAACATGGGGGTAAGCAGGGCCTCTTGGGATCCATGTCCAGCTCCACCCCTCGATTTCCTCCAGTGGAGAACTGCCACCTCCGGGTCGCCTCGTGTCCCCTTGGGACACCCAGGCTGCAACCCCCCTCCAGAGGCGGAGCTTGCACTGGCCCCGCCTCACCCCCCGCCTGCGCGTCCCCGGCCCAGCTGCGGCGCGTGACGCTGGCCGAACGGCTCTGGTGGCCACCGCGGCGGGCACAGACAGCGGGGTTATTGGACTAGCTAGAGGCATGGCGGCGGTGGGGACGGCGGCAGGGCCAGCGGGCCCCGAGCCCATGCCGAGCTACGCGCAGCTGGTACAGCAAGGCTGGGGCAGCGCTCTGGCGGCGGCGCGGGGCTGCGCGGACTGCGGCTGGGGACTGGCCCGCCGCGGCCTGGCTGAGCACGCGCACCTGGCGCCGCCCGAGCTGCTGCTGCTGGCGCTCGGCGCGCTAGGCTGGACCGCGCTGCGCTCGGCGGCCACCGCGCGCCTCTTTCGGGTCAGTGTGGCTGGGGGCCGGAACCTGGGTGACCCCAGGCTGGGAGAAGCCAGGGCGGGAAGGGGGCCCGGGACGGGAGAAATTGGGCCGCCGTGTGCCCCTTTTAGTCTGTGTAACGTGGCGGGGCTGGGGGTGAATGCGGGGGTGTGGCTGGGCTGAGGTGAGTCAGGAATGTGGGGTCCGGATACAGGTAGGGTGTTCAGGACACGGGAGGAATCCTTTCCGGTCAGTTTGGAACAATAGGCCCTGCGCGGTGGGTTGCTCAGGTTTCTGCGCGCTCTTTTGAGCTGGGGACGGAGGAGCCCAGGACAGGAATGGGAAGGTCTCTATGCTCTGGGGCCTCCCGTACCATTCTCCTCCTGGCCATTCGAGGCCTGCTTGGATCAGAGCAGGGTCTGCTTCTCCATCCCTGAGGGGTTCGTTCAGAGCCCAAACGTCTCGTTTTGCCTGCTGCTATCTGGAAGAGGCAGGAGCTGCCTGGTCGCTGCCTCGCGCCTGTTTGGGGTCAGCGCCACCCTCTGACTAGAGATGGCAAAGGCCTGGGCGCCCTGCCACTCTGGTGGTCGCTCCTTTGAAGGGGATATGGCCTGGGGCTTAGGGCTGGACTGTGCTGCCTCCAAGGTGTGACAGCAGAATTGCCTCATTTCTGGTGAGGCCACCGCCCACGCCAGAGAATGACCGAGGTGGTGACATTGGTACCTGACCCTACTTTTCCTGGGGAGTGATCACTGTTGCGGGGGCTGGTGGGAAGGTGTTTGGGTCTCTAGCTTGGCTTAACACCCCGGTAGACCAGCTGGGGTCACGCTGCCCCAGTTTGGCTGGAGGTGGTAGAGGGTGCGGGGACAGAGTGGCCAGAACCAACAAAGGGGCCTTTCTTTGCTAGCCAGAAAGAGGCTGGCCCTTGTTAAGTCGAGGATGGGCTGTTGTCTGACTGCTCCTCCCCTCCTCCATCCCCATGTCACCTACTTGCTGGAGAGAGACCCCAGCTCCCACTTTGCTGTAGGGAAGGGGAGGCACTTAGAGACCCCTCCATAAGTGGACCCTGTCCCTATCCTGCTTTGACTCTTCCCCCTACTTCCCAATTTTCGGCAAGGAAGCAGAAGGCGGGGCAGGGGATGTGGCTGCTCTTAGATTACCAGGGATGGAGGGGGAAGGACAGGGGGAAGAGCTAGGTCGTGTGCCCCTCACTTTTAGAATCCTGGGGCCCAGTCAACCTCCTGCCCCAGGCCGTCCCCAGCTTGGGTGAGGTGCTCATCCCAAGTTGAAGCTCGCCCTTCCCAAGAAATGGGTGGAGGGGCTGTAGGGTTTTCCAAAGCTCATCTTCTTGGCAGCAGCCCGGTTGCCAGGGGTTACAGGAGCGAGCGGGCTCTGGCTGTCTCCATGACAACTGCTCTGGCTCCCAGCCCCCTCAGCCTTGGGGGGAAGGGGTGGGGGCTTGGCCCAGCAGTTCTGCAGCCCCACCCCCCAGGAGCTGCTACCCTTCCTGCCTCAACCCTGCAACTGCCTGTACCTCACTCTGGTATTGTGGTTCCCCCTGAGGTAACCTCTTCCTCTCAAGTTCTGTACTCCCTTTCCCTCTCCCCTGTGGGGATCCCCACATGTTTCTGAAGGTGTCTGCATATCCCCCTCCATATTGCCTTCACAACATGGCCACCCCCCATAACTCCTCTCATGTCATAAATTTCCTCCTCCTCCCTGTCTTGGTCCTCCTGTGACCCCCAGCCCTCCTACTCCCCTGGGCTTCCACAGCCTTCTTCCATCCACCCCAGGGTCCCCACTCTCACCCCTCCTCCCCACCCCTGCCACAAGGGGACAGCTGGGCACTAAGTTTAGCCCTTAGCAGGTGCCTGTGGACTCTGGTTACACTCCAGACGGCTGTGGGTACAGTGGCTGGGCTTTTCCCTGTGCTGCCCAGCTTGGGGAGTCCCAGGGCCCCAGTTTACCCACCATGGAAGAGGGCCCTGGCCCCCAGTGCCAATGGCTGCCCCACCTGCCTTCTCCCCTGTAGCCCCTGGCCAAGCGGTACCGCCTCCAGCCTAGAGATGCTGCCAAGATGCCTGAGAGCGCCTGGAAGTTTCTCTTCTACCTGGGCTCCTGGAGCTACAGTACCTACCTGCTTTTTGGCACTGACTACCCCTTCTTTCATGACCCACCATCTGTCTTCTACGGTAGGGGCCCTTCAGCATGGGTGGGGAGGGCTCTGCTTAAAACGTTGAGAAAGGGCCCTGTAATCCCAGCACATTGGGAGGCCGAGATAGGAGGATGGTTTGAAGCTGTGAGTTTGAGACTAGCTTGGGCAATGAAATAACTGTCTCTACAAAAATTTTAAAAATTAACTGAGCAGGGCGGCACCAGTGGCTCAAAGGGGTAGGGCGCTGGTCCCATATGCTGGAGGTGGCAGGTTCAAACCCAGCCCTGGCCAAAAATGGCAAATAAATAAATAAAAGTTAAAAAAAAATTAACTAAGCGTGGTGTCACACTCCTATAGTCCCAGCTACTCAGAAGGCTGAGGCAGGAGGATCACTTGATCCCAGGAGTCCAAGACTGCAGTGAACTATGATAATGCTACTGCACTCCCGCCTGGGCAATGGAGTGTAGTAGTATTATCATTAGCATTATCTCCCATCTCTAAAAAAATGTTAAGGTTGGGCACAGTGGCTCATGCTTGTAATCTTAGCATTCTGGGAAGCTGAGGTGGGAGGATCATTTGAGGTCAGGAGTTCAAGACCAGCCTGAGCAAGAGTGAGACCCTGTCTCTACTAAAAATAGAAAAATTAGCTCAGCATTGTGGCAGCAGCCTGTAGTCCTAGATACTCAGGAGGCTGATGCAGGAGAAATTTTTTCTTTTTCTTTTTTTTAAAAAGAGTCTCTAGTGGCTATAGCACAGTGGTTATGGCACCAGCCACATATACCAAGGGTGGCAGGTTCAAACCCAGCCTGGGCCAGCTAAACAACAATGATAACTGCAACAAAAAATAGCTGGGCATTTCTTTGTTAGTATAGTGATTAGTATCGAAAAAAAAAAAATAGCCGGGTGTTGTGGCGGGCGCCTATAGTCCCAGCTATTTGAGAAGCTGAGACAAGAGAATCACTTAAGCCTAAGAGTTTGAGGTTGCTGTGAGCTGTAACACTATGGCACTCTACCAAGGGCAACATAGTGAGACTCTGTCTCGAGAAAAAATAAAAATAAAATAAAAAATAAAAAGAGTCTCACTTTGTTGCCCCCAGTAGAGCGCTTGGGCTCAAGCAATTCTTTTGCCTTAGTCTCCCGAGTAGCTGGGACTACAGGTGCCCACCACAACACCCAACTATTTTTAGAGACAGGGTCTCACTCTGGCTCAGGCTGGTCTTGAACATGTGAGCTCAGGCAATTCAGCCTCTCAGAGTGCTAGGATTACAGGCGTGAGGCACCTCCTGCAGAGTTTGAGGTTGATGTGAGCTAGGCTGATACCATGGCATTCTAGGCTGGGCAAGAGTAAAACATTTTTTTAAAGGCAGAGCTGACAGAATTTGCTGCCAAACCAGAAATGGGTGTGAGAGAGGAAGAGGGTGAGAATGATGCTAGGGTCTGGGCCCCCTAGTGAGATGGGCCCTGGAAGGGAAAGCCCCCTCTCTGGAGGTGAGGGAGAGGGACAAGGCAGGGATGGCATCATGTGTCCAGAGCGGCACATGGGACATGAGGTATAGAGAAGAGGGAGAAGAGGTGTGAGACCCCTGGACTGGCCCAGATGTCCTCTTCCATCATGTGGAATGGGTGGAGATGCGGGAGGGCACCCAGCTGGAAAGGTAGGGACAGGGTGCAAGTGGGGGTCCTGGGCAAAAGCCAAGGTTCAGAAGTTTCTAGAAGGGTTGGGTACATGGGCTTGTGCCTGTAATGCTAGCACTTTGGGAAACTAAAGCGGGAGGATCACTTGAGGCCAGGACTTGGACACCAGGCTGAACAAGGGCAAGATCCCATCTCTAAAGATGGAAAATTTAGTCAGGCATGCTGTCACCTGTAGTCCCTCTATAGTCCCACCTACTCAGGAGGATGAGGCAGAATCGCTTGAGCCCAGAAATTGCAGGTTACAGTGAGCTATGATGATGCTATTGCATGCACTCCAGCCTGGGTGACGCACTGAGACTCAGTCTCAAGAAATTACATATTCTGTCTATTGTCTCAAAAAACCCAGATGTTTCCAGAGAGTCCAATTGAAGAGGAACCAAGAAGGTGGTGCAGGACATTTCTCTGTGTTTCAGCCAGTTTACGTTGGAACAGAGAGGTGGCCAGAGGGGGCTGTGGCATCCAGGGAGGGAGCTTTTTTTAGGCTAGGGGAGTCACCTTAAATCCGATGGCCTGTCAGTATCGGGTGTGGTGTTGGATAGTGGTCTCATACTTCAGGGGTCTAGGAGAGGGGTCCTGATTGGGTAAGGTGACCTTGGCCCTAGGTGCCCAGAGGGCATCATCAAACTGTGGTGTTGACTCTCATGCTGGGCAATAAATTGTATGCCTTGTCACCAACTCTGGTTTTGGCCCAGATCAGGGGCCTGAGGCTGGAAGAGGAAGCTCAGTCAAGGTAACAGGACATGGAGCTGGTAGTGAGCACAGTTGCTGCTGGGCCTCTGGGTATGTTATCTCACAAGGATGCCAGGAGATGGTCCCCATCGAGCCTTCCTCTTTCTCCTCTGGAGCCCCCATCATGGGCGGGTAGCGGCTTGTCAGGACGCAGCCCTCCTTAGAATCTTATGGGGACTGCCCTGGGCCTGGGCTCCCTGCAGAGGGGCCTCTGCATGCAGGCAGGAGCCCCTGAATTTGGGGTCCAGTGGGGAGGGCGATGCCTGGGATGCCCATGGGCACAACTGCAAGCAAGGCTGAAGGGATGATGCCAACTTCCAGGTGTATGTGGTAGGATGTTAAGAGCTTGGAACCTTCAAGATTGCAGCATTCGGCTCGGCGCCTATAGCTAAGGCACCAGCCACATACACCTAAGGTGGCGGGTTCGAATCCCCAGCCCGGACCCGCCAAAACAACAA